GGAAGTTTTTAAATCTTTTAACTTCATTCAAAGACCAACATAAAATAAGTATGAATTTTAGCTTTTATGAAAAGATAGAGTTGCCGAATGTATGAAGCTTAATCTGTTTCAAAGACTGTTTCAAAGACTGACGCTTATTTTGTTTCGAGAGTTAAATAACAAAATATTGCAGTTTTAAGACAGACATACTCACATTTGATATAGATTTTCTCTCCAGAACAATAAGCCCCTCTGTCCGTTTGTGCAAACAGAGTTACGACTCCTTGATTGCCAAACCCAAGCGCCTTAGTCACTACTTTTTCTGTTTTTCTTCCTACATATTTCTGAAAAAGTATAGCGTTTATATATAGCTCGATTCGTCATGCGATTTTACACATTTCATAACATTTATATCGATATCATGCTAAGTTATTACATACATATTACACATACAAACAGCCTTTTAACAGACTAAGCTCCAAATAGACAAAGGGAGGGAACGCTTATAAAACTTGTATTATTAGAGATGAATTCTCTCCCATACATGAGGGTTACTTTATCATATTACATATTTCAAGGATGGCGATGTTTTAAGCAAAGCAAAACTTACAGAATATTCCGGAATGTTGACGTCTATTTCATCTAGTACTGTTATAACTTTCAATCGTCTTACATGTGATCTCAATACTGGTCTCTCTATGTCAAACGCTAGCCAATATCTACAAAAATGATGTTAATGTCATTTCAATCTAACATCAATTATCACTATTATGTATATAGTTTTACGTGTAAATATGCCACTTTATTAAACAGCAACATCCTAAAAATCGTTTTATTTCAATTTTTATTTCAATTTTTATTCAATCTTTTTTCATCATACTAGTGAAATATATACATGTTGTTTGGACAGTTCACGTGGTAAAACATACTCTATTTACTGTGATGTCTTGTTTCGCCGTGAGAACTAATAAATATTTTACACCTTTTTTGTAAGATTACAAGAGTAAAGTGAGGATCCATGTTCGCTATAACCTTAAACGACATCTTGACATTTATACATTTGTATTATTATAGAATCTTCTCTGTAGTGGAATCTAAATATACTGAAAAATGACAATCTCTAATTCAAACGATGAGCGATCATAAATAAATTAAGATATAAACATCTTATTATTATTACCCATTTTTTAATTGTAGTCATGTTAGGCAAGGAGCACTTTTAGAATCTGTTCACAGCGAAATTCAGGTTTTAAAATCATAGTCCATAACCCTATCACCATAACCAATAACCCTCTTACCCTAACCCATAGCACTAACCATACCCCTTACTCTAAATAAGTTATATGAGTGATTTCGGATAGAGACATAAAATAATATTGAAGAAATAATATTGGATAAAATCATACTTTTAAAAATAGCTTTATTTTTTAAAAGGCTGGTTCCTTGTATATATAGTTATATACCTGATTGCTCCATATTTCCCCTCGTATGTAGAGGGAAGCATGCCGGTTGGAACCTTGAAACTAAATTTGTAAACATATTTCCCTGCGGGATATTCCACAGTTTCTCCAGCTGAAAGAGTAAAAATAAGTAATAATAATAATCGTGAACATATTACATAGTGATTATGATCAATTATTGTCTTTTTCAGTTTGAAATGCATGAAACAGACCGAGATTAAATAGACGCATTATGTATTTAACGTAAGCATGTGCCCATGCAAAAGAAAAGAGTGTGACAATTTCCCTCTTAGTTACATTTTATTGTATAATACTATTTAGACAATATATGATTAATATATTAAAATATAATCACAGTCACTTAAAATTCTTAAATACATGTATAACGAATCTTGATTTACAAAATATAGTTTAAATGCTGTAACATAATTCAAGCAACTGTAATATAAACTAAATAGATAACTATGTATATTTTGTTCTCCCATCCCCACTCCCTTAAAGTTTCACATCTAACAAAAATAAACCAATGAATTTCCAGCATTTGCATCATATGATCTTTCAATTTAAATCATTATTGGATGCAATCTTCGTTTCGTTTCTATTTTCAGCGTCCAAAACATCCATATCAATCCATGTCGTACTCCATCTACCCTCGTTTTCATTTTGAGAGTCCAGAAAGTCTATATCAATTCCATCTTATACTCAAAGTAACTGTAAATTAATGATGATTTTGAATGTTTAAATTTAATGAGTTTTCTCTTTACAAATTTGTGATGTGAAATAAAGAGGTCGATCATAAGAGGTCGATCATTGTATATTGTAGAGTACAATACTGAGTCTGTTGAACTCGTACACAGCAAACCTATATTAGACTCGGCTCACAGGCGGCAGTATCAGTGTTTAGACACCCCACCCCTATCTGCCCCTGGACCCCTACTACAATCCTGAAAAAAAAATCAACACTCTAAGGCTTACTATAAGGTACCAAATCCAAAACCACCGATGAAATTATATATAAAAAAATTTTTTCCACTATCAAAATTATAGTTATAGAAAGGTGTAAAGCCTACTATATGTCCATTTGCCAAACAATGTGGAACACGGGAAATCGTCGTTTCGGCGACTGAGGCGCATTCCGGCGGGATTTCGCTGCATCATTCATTTACATCAATAAAAAGAACTTGAATTCCACAGCTTACTTAATTCAAGTCCAATGAATATCAATATTCTATCGATTTTTTCTATTTCACGGTAATTTTTGACTTGTCGTTGCCATTTTGGATTCTGATACCTGTGTGTTATACGCGATCTGATTGGACGTCCAATTTGGCTCGTCCAATCAGATCGCGTATTTCAACCCAGGTATCAGACTGCAAAATGGCTACGACAATTCAAAAAATACCGTGAAACAGAAAAAATCGGAATGATAGTGATATTCGTTGGACTTGCATTACATAAACTGAGGAATTCTAGTTCTTTTTATTAATGTTAATGAATGATGCAGCGAAATCCCGCCGGAATGCGCCTCAGTCGCCGAAACGACGATTTCCCGTGTTCCACATTGTTTGGCAAATGGACATAAAGTAGGCTTTACACCTTTCTATAACTATAATTTTGACAGTGGAAAATTTTTTTTATATATGATTTCATCGGTGGTTTTGTATTTGGTACCTTATATTAAGCCTTAGAGTGTTGAATTTTTTTCAGGATTGTAGTAGGGGTCCAGGGGCAGATAGGGGTGGGGTGTCCAAACACTGATACTGCCGCCTGTGACTCGGCTAGGGCTTTTCTAACATAGGCGTCAGAGCTGTGTACTCGTCCAATAGAATTCAGTATTGTACTTAACAATGTATGATCACCTGTAATAGTATACAGATGTTGTACAGTGTACAACAACAAAAAGAGGCTTATGTCCGTCTGTCTGTCTGTGCAGATTTGTTTATAAGATTCACTTACTTCTGTTACTGGTAGGAAATACAATTTTTTCTTGCGTGGTGATGTCTTCAAACCCAATATTGTCGTCTGCTTTTGATTCGGTATTTGCCCAGCGGGTGAGTGTAGCCCCGCGGAAGGATACACTGACGTTTTTCACACTGATCGGCTCTCCTATATCTACGGTCCATTCACCTTTAAGCTCATCTCCGGGTCTGTATACGGGTTTCTGGTTATATACCTTAATGAATACAGAGTTTATAGCGGGCATATTTGACTGAATAAGTCCTTTAATTCCCGTTATTCCACTTACACGTGCTTTATTTGTATAATTGAAGAAGAAGAAAAAACAATCTTATACAAAGTCTCAGTTAATATATTATTGTATTATTTCAATGTAAACAAATATTTATATTTAGCTTTACTACGAGGTTTTAATTAAATAAGTCAGGGAAGAGATTATGGCTACTATTTAAAGGTGATATCAAGAAGTATTTCGTAATATATATACAACATACTATCATATGATACAGATAAAGATGTAGTGATTGCTGAAGACGGGGATATCTTTGTTTATTTTGTAATTCAATCATATCTAGCATATGATAATTTGCTAATTTCTGACTAAGTACTAGATGTACCACTTATTCTGTATAGGTCATATTAATGTGTTTAATACAAGTAAACTATTAAAAGTCTGTGAACAGAAAATCCCTACTGTTACAAAAAAACTTATCTCGAGATGATTTCATATATAGAGGATATTGAATGAGTGTTAGTTCAATACAGAATTTATTGCACGAGTTGAATAAAATTATATTATGCGAGCCTCTGGCGGGCATAATTTTATTTTATTCAACGAGTGCAATATATTCAGTAATGAACTTACACAAATTTAATATTCTATTTATCACATACCCAAAATGAAGACGTATAAAGTGAAAAAAAGAGTCATTTTTCATTGACGCGCCTATAGTATAACGCTAACATTTAGCGAGTTTTTACGCTATGTTTGAATAACGCAAATAAAGTCAGGTCAAAATAATTATATGCACGGCCGTGCAATACCATATTTACGGAGTCGCAAAATCGGCACGGGTGTGTGATAAACATTTATTTGATGCTTTTGTTGATTCTATCATAAGTTATGTCAGCCAAGAGATTACATTTGAAATGTTTCAAGTTAATTCCATGTGTTAAAACAAGCCCGAGTAATGTAGTAGTTTATGGTGAGCTATGTAAATTCATATACATACATACATATATACATACACATACATATACATACATATACTCGTATATATATTCCAATCATATTGAACAGGGAAATAACTCCTTGGCCCATACTATAAGTACTTCCCATTTGCACTGAAGAGTTACCTTTTTTTCAATGCTCAGTTGAATTAAGAAACCCGGACAGAATATCCAATGCCCATAGCAATTTTGCAAAAAAACGTTGTGAAATGTATCATCATAGTATGTATGCAAATACTTTATATCTGTGTAAAAAAGGTATAAAAACTGAGTCTTTAAAGTAAAAACAATTTTAGAAGAATTTGTTTTTTCTGAGGTGCGGAATCGTCCTTAACTTTATAATTCAAAATAATTAGTATCAATTTTCAATCAAAGAGTCATTGATATTTTCAAACAAAAATAGGGTTCAGGCATTGTTGATTTTGTATACTTTGTAGACGTTTATCAAGCAAATTATAGCAAACTTAATGAAGATGTTCAAAGTGTGCCTTCTCATTATTATGTAGGTGAGAGAAAATACCAGATTATACACACAAGACTTAGAACACATTGTAGTTCTCTCAAAGAACATTTTTTTTTTCAAAAAACACAATAGAAAGTCCCCTATGTGAATGTGGCGACATAGAAAACACATCTCATTATTTCTTCTCGTGTCCAAGGTACCAAGATGAACGAAATGTCCTCCTTAATAATTTAAGTGAAATAACAACTGTCACACTTAACGTTTTACTCTATGGTGATAATTCAATTGCTGACGATTTAAATGAAGCAATAGTCCTTTATATACACTCATATTTACACAGAACAAAACGTTTTGAAATGTAATAGAAAGTTATTATTTCTAATAATATGAAATAGAGATTTAGATGCATAATATCTTCTCAAAAGTATATTATAAACTCGTTCCATCAACTCCATAGTATTTTAGTGACCATTTCCTGTTGTCTTTCTATTTCTTTCTCTCAAATCTGTCTCTTATTTTCCTACCTTCTATTACCCAACAATTTCAACAATTAACTTACGTTTCCATATCTTTATTTTTCTTAAATTTTTTTTAAACATGTTTAAAAGTTCTATTATTTTTCTTGATAAGTTTAAACGTGCTAATTTGTGCATTTATCACTTACGTGTATTTATGCTATAGAGCTATAGGGTTTTCTTTCACATTTTTATGTCAATATTCTATTATTAAGGTCGTTTCGATTAGGAACACCAGAGTGTAAATTGCTAACTTTCCTGTACATGTAAAGAAGCAAGTTTATAGTGAAAATGTTATGTATACTAGTATTTAACTCAAAAATGCATATAATTGTTACCATTTTACATACTGTTTGAGATAGTGATTACGGAAAGAGTTTCTAAAAAAAGCTTTCAAGCTTACTACTCAATCCGTACTATTTATTATTTGTCAATTATCATGTAAATGTAATACTTATAAATAAAATATTGTTTAAACTAAGCAAATTATATTTTCTTTGAAATGCAATTTTGATGAAATAAAGTGTATGCAATTAAGACGACAATAGACGCATCGCAGAATATCTGCGCATCCAGTCATAACAGAAACAAAATATAAGGTTAGACTAGATTTTAAAGAAATACCTGATAAAATTCATACATTAATAAATTACTCATTATATGTATATACATACTTAGATTTGAAAGGTTTTAAAATCAAACAGAGAACCCAACATAAACAACTCAATACTTGGATATTTAAAGGATATTGGATGAGTGTAAGTTTAATACTGAATTTATTGAACGAGTTCAATAAATTTAGTATTAAACTTACCCTTATTCATTTTTTTTATTTATCACATACCAAGATAAAAGACCGTTTTAAGTAATACAGAACCATTTTTCATTGACGCGCCTTTAATTAATATAACGCCTACATTTTTCGCGTCTTGACGCTATGTTTATAATTACGAAAATGACGTCATGTCAAAATATATTCACAACCGCGCAATATTCTTTTTGCGAAGTCGTAAAAGCGGCACGGCTATATGGGAAATCAATATTATATATGTAGATATGTATAAAATGCATCCGTGAGTTCGTATGTGCATGCGTGCGTGCGTGCTAATTTGTATTCATTCACCTGTAAATTATATTATTATATATGTCTAGGGCAATTCTAATCATTTATAATACACGATTGCTATATATGTTGGTCATTCTGCAAGAACCAAAACGTCAAAAGATTTTGTTTTTTATAAATAACTATAACATCCATGTAATAACTGTAAATTTACTCGTCACTGTTTAGTCATTTGTTTGCACGTGACACTGTATCTGTTTTTGTATAAAATGAAAAGCAATAAATATGACTAAACTAAGTGATAAGCTTTTACCACTGATGCCTGCACATTCGTGCAATCTTACCAAATATTTAACTGTTGGTCTGTATGCTTTTAATTTCATCAAGATATCAAAAAATGCGTATGGATAGCTCTTAACATGAAAACAAAACATGTACAATTATGTGATTTACATAATTATAATATACAATGTTATACAGTAAAAATGACAAATATGATAATATATATACAAATTTGCATAAAAAGAAAATTTCTTTTTTATATGTGTGTATTGTATTTTTAAATTAATTGTTATTATTGATTTTCTTGCAACATTCAATTACATATCAATTAGCATTAGTATATATTCACATATACAAAGAAACAGTAAAACAAAGCTCAAAACTATTATCCTATTAGCCTATAAACATTGCGTATTGTCTTTTTTTTTTAAATGTTGTATTGAGGTTTTTGCTCTTTTGAAAAAATAAATGTCAATGAATAGAGGATTTCAATTTGTTTTCCTTTTAATACAGGATTTATTTTCACCGAGGGGTATGAAAATATATAGTCGACGAGTGGCAATAGCCACGAGTGTAATTGGATAATTTTCATACCACAAAATGTAAATAAATCCTGTACATGTATTAAAAGAAAAAAATGAATTTTAAATTATTATATTTTCTTTTCTTTTTTAACCTTATGAATAGAATATTTCTCTTTTAATTTCGTGTATTGGCTGAATTTAGAAAAATGTAGTCCAGCAAGACACCATTGAAAATACTTATTATTCAAGCCATTCATATATGATTTCCCTTCTCTCACAAGAAAGTTGGTCTCTAGGTCAATATCTAGGTAATTTGATTTCCCATTTCAGTTCTACACTTGAAATTGTGCACATGGTCAAAATTTGATAGGTGTATAGCCAAAGTAGGTCACTTCATCAAAAGCTAAGTATGCTTGCAAAAAGTTAATTTTACATTTGAAATTGTGCACATGGTTCAAATGACTGTACATCAGAGGTCAAGAAAAAAGGTCACTACTCAAATCTAGGTCAGCTGATATTTCAGTTCAATTTCACATCTCAAACAGTGCACGGCTGTACATCAAAGGGCAAGAAAATAAGTCACTGTGTCCCCTTTGGCAGGGCACTATTTGAATTAAAGGATTTAATTTAAATTTAAATAATCTTAGGACAGGTCCACCAGACAATGTTACACGTCGAAAATCTAACCTATAGCTTTCTCCTATTAGGAAACATTTATTTTTAGTTTCTGCTGGTTTTTTTCTATATGTACATAATGAAAATCAAGGAGATTTGGGCGGTGACAATTCTGACCCCAGGGCTATAATTTGAACAATCTTGGTAGATGTCCACCACTACACAATGTTTCATGCCGAATAACTAATCTCTAGCCTTTGTTAATGCAGAGATTTTTTTAAAAAGTTTTTACATTATACATATGAAAAACCTATGACCCCGGGGCGGGGCCAATTTTGACAGTAGGGGCAAAACTTCGAATTCGGTGGAGGACCTTAATATGATATTTATAAAACAAAGCTCTTGGCCTTGTACCTTCAGACACGAAGATTTTTTAAGTTTTTACTTAATGAACAAAATGAAAATCAATGACCCCCCCCCCCCCCCAAGGCGGGAACACATTTTGACACCAGGGCTATAATTCATGTAATTATTTGTCCATTGCAGAATCCTTCATGCCATATATCTAACCTCCAGCCTTTGTTAATTCAGAGAAGAAGATGATTTCTTCAGTGTATTATATACACATAAAAAACCTATGACTCCCGGGCTTTTGAGCATACTCCAATCCCAGTAAATTATCTTATAAATGGCATAAT